ATGACTCTTGAGGCAATAGAAATGTAGTTCTATAGACGAATGCTTGGAATACCATTGACGAAACAACATTTGAGTAAAGAGGAATTGATAAGGAAAATGGAAATAAAATGAACACTTATAATTAGTCAGAGGCAGAGACATTTCTGGAACATATAATGAGAAAAGAAGGCTTGACAAATTTGACATTCACATGGCATATTGTAGAGCTTACCTAAATACATAGCGTATGGGTATGACGATAAACTACATCCGTGTCCTGGGTATGACGATAAACTACGTCCAACAACAAGGCTTCAGATAATGTTTTCAGAAAAATAATGTTGCCAGCTATACGTTTTTTGGAAACAACAATGTTGCCAGCTATGTTTTTGAAACAACAATGTTGCCAACTATGCGTTTTTTGAAACAATGTTGCCAGCTATATGTTTTTTGGAAAGAATAATGTTGAATGCTATGTGTTTTTGAAAAGATAATGTTGCCATCTATATGTTTAATAGTACTGTATATTTAATATATGTATATATATATATATATATATATATATATATATATATATATATATATATATACCTTAATTTGGCATTAAATGACCCACAGTGGTTGATATGCCATAAAACCCAACCAACCAACCAACCAACTTAAATAGATAGCAAAACAAGGACTGGCAAGGCTGGTCAGGGTAGAACATTGCTAAGAGCTACAAACGATAGGAAATTGTGGAGAGTCATGATCACTCACGCCCTGAAGAAACACAACACAAAAAAAATGATATGAATGAAAATACTGGAAAAAATAAATAAATAAAAGAAAAGATACAAATTATGAAGTATGTTAACTACTTTTAACTTGCAGAAGTATTTTAGATTCTGGCGAAGCCATACATTTTGAGGTTAAATTTGTGGCCCGAATCAATAATTGTCTGTCCGAATTATAGCTACTACTTTTTTCATCTTTCTGATCTCCTGATAAATTTAACATTTCAAAGGTATAAGAAATTGGCAAAGATATGAAAAATATTGATTATGTGAGAGATAGCTGAAAAGTTCTCAGCTTGACCCACTTATCTAAACTTAAGAAAATTTTTTGGTAATACTGTTTTAGTTATCTTTTTACTTTATAATCTTTTCACCCCAAGCAAATCAACAAAGTCACTAACACACATTGGGCTTACTGTCAGTGAAAAAAATATATAAGAAAAACAAGTACAATGAAAGAACAGAAATTAAGAAGATGGAAGATAACGATTGATATTGTATTTAAATATTTTGAACCTCAAACTTGACTGGAAGACAAGAAGCCAAAAAAGAGTTCCACAAGTGATACATGCAAGGAAAGAAACTGTTAACAAAGAACTTATAGTTACATCTAGCCATTTCAACTGCAAAATGAGACCTAGCTGCCAATCTAGTACTGCACTTAAATTCATAGAGTCTAGATACACAAACACTGACCCAAACATACAACAATATTTCTTATTTCAAAACAACACATTCTTACTTACCATTCATACTTCATCCAGCATAATGTCTCAGAATCGCCATGAAGTCATAGCTAGTCCCCATATGTACAATTCATTATCTTTGGGAGGAGAGGGAATAAAATAACTATTTAAAAACTAGCCTCAATGTGTATTTACAATATGAAAAGAAAACTATTTACAGGAAACTAAATAAAATAATGTTCGTAATATCCCACCTCACAATCCTTAAATGTGGTAGAAAAATCAGTTAACTGGACAAAATCAATGCAGGCCTTTAATAATATAAAACATTCATTCATCCCATGCACTCACTCAAACACAAACTCATCTAAACCCAACAAATATGAAAATCACACCTGAAATGAAAGGAGCCCTGCACCCACCAGAGAACTGACATCACTGACCACCTAACGAGGGAGTCTAGATACCACAGAGAAGAGTTTCTCAGAACAATTACCATAAAAGTATTTATAGAAAAGGTGCAGGAAAGCTACATTATGGCAAATGGAAAAGTGGCTGAAATTGAGATGCAAGGTCAGGACCAATAACATTGCAGGTTCTTCTTTGGATTTTATCATGGTAGACTTGTAAATATGTAAGATAGATTCTGGAAAGAAAAATTGTCTAGCATGACATAGAGAACCAACTTTCCTAGCAGCAGACCTATCAACTGATTCGATATAATCTGTCGGATTCAGTCAGTTATGTGCCATGCATGATACACACTTAGTCGATCATGTATCTTTTGATACATGACAGATGAGGCAGCTGTTTTCCTGCAGTAGGTTGCCATTTCTTTCTGCAGTAGACCAGTTGCCACCCAAGGCTAAAAAACACGGTCTGTACTGCTATTTACCCATAGCTGGGGGGAGAAGAAGAGGATTCATACCTTTCCCAAGGGTATTAGCATGTAAGTGAATATAATGGATTTTACTGGAATTTGAACTCGGCTCTCTAATTCCTCAATCCAAGCATTATTCCACCAAACTGCTCCTAGGGGACATTTTCTGGCACTATAAATACACCATGACAATTATTTGCAGCATCTTCTTACTTTTCAACTTAAACAACAACATCTAAATCTCTCACGGAAGAACGCATGGGGAAAATGCATGAACAATACATAGACACACACACACATGTATGCACATTCACGCACATTACATACTTTAGACCAAAAAGTTTCCACATTCATTTGTTACAAACATTAGTGTCTTTGTCACTTGTAACCCTTTTCTTGTTAAGACATTATCATTTGAGTTCTCTCAAATGATTAATAGAGAGATTTTTTTTGTTTTGCAGGCATTGAAATTAACAAGTCATTTGTTGTCCTAGTTAACAACAGAAATTAAGCCATTTTTTTAGATCAGCTGCCAGTTTGACTTTGAGCCTTTCAGCATTTCATATTATAATGTAAAAAGTACGACAGAAAGATTCTGCAACCTTTAACTTTCATGCCTGCAAAAAATAATGGTGTTTTAAAATTATGTTTTTCCCTTGACACTGCTATTACTATAACTACCATCACTCCTCAGCAATGTTTATTTTTTTCAAAAGCAATGATTAGAATTTTAATAAAATTTAGAGATATGGTGAAAGTGAATTTATACATTATTTTGTTCTCGAGAATCTGCAACAGAAATATTAATCACTATTTATTTATTAAATTGTTTATTTAAAAGAATAGTTTTATATTTGCAGCATTCTAAAAAAACTAATACAATTAGAACTAATGCAATGCAATATTTTATCATTTACTAATTTATAAAGAAATATGAAAACAGTTTTTGTTTATAACTTTATAAACATTTTTTAAATTATTAAAATATGTGGACCAAGTATAAGGAAATCTTTATTTTTTTACTGTTTTAAAAGATTGGCAATTACCCAATATTTGGCCAACCCTTCTAATAAACAGTGTAAATAAACAATCTAATAAATAAATAGTGTTTATTACTTTTGTTGTAAATTCTCAAGAACAAAGAAAATGTATAAATTCACTTTCATCATATCTTTAGGTTTTTTTACAATTCTAATAATCTCTGTTGAAAAAATAAACATTGTGGAAGAATGAAGATAGTTAAAATAATAGCAGTGTCAAGGAAAAAACGACCCTTTTAACACACCATTTTTTTTTGCATGAATGTTAAAGACTACCAAAAACTCTCTATGTGTAATATATATATATATATATAGAAAGCTCACTCATATATAAATAGAAACAAGTGATTTTTTTATAATGTTTCTATATCACTTGTATATATATATATGTATAGAGAGAGAGAGAGCTCACTCATATATAAATAGAAACAAGTGATTTTTTATATTGTTTCTATATCACTTAGTATATATATATATATATATAGAGCTCACTCATATATAAATAGAAACAAGTGATTTTTTATATTGTTTCTATATCACTTAGTATATATATATATATATATATATATATATATATAGAGCTCACACATATATAAATAGAAACAAGTGATTTTTTTATATTGTTTCTATATCACTTACTATATATATATATATATATATATATATATATATATAGAGCTCACTCATATATATTGTTTCTATATCACTTAGTATATATATATATATATAGAGAGAGAGAGAGAGCTCATATATAAATAGAAACAAGTGATTTTTTATATTGTTTCTATATCACTTAGTATATATATATATATATATATATATATATTTTGAAATTGAAAAGCTGAGTCAAAATTCTGCTTTATTTAATTCAATTTAATGCCCTTGGAAAGTGCATAAAACCATACCCCTCCAGCTATGGGTTAAATAACAGATCAGATTGAGGTCTCTTTCCTTGAGTAGCAGCCAATTTACAAGAAGGAAAACTCTGAATTCAAACTCCTGTAAATAATCAGCATAAATAATCTTTTAGTAAATCTACTAAATTTACTAAAAGATTTTGGTCTGAAGAGATGAGTATTTAGAGATATTCACAAAATAAATTATAACCAAAAGGAATCTTTAAAGTTTTCTACTTGATTTATTAGAGATATATAGAGATAGATAGATAGATAGATAGATAGATAGATAGATAGATAGATAGATATGAACAGGTTGTGTGGGATAGATAGATAGATAGATAGATAGATAGTCATTCACAGACAAACTTTTTCGCTGTTTCACAGCTCCTCAGTGTGGCTCGACATCTGATTACATCAAGTTGGGATCAAAAACCGACTGGCAGAGATTTTACCCCAAAGCCATTGAAGATGAATTTAGGTGTATTTATATTTAGACAAACATGCCAGTGACTGGAGAACTTGATTCATCTTAACGAAGTGTCTTGCAGCAGCAGCAGTAATAGTCACTGTTTACAAATTCAATTTTCTCCCCAAAGAGCTCAACTGAAATAATTTTTCAGGAGCATTTTTTTTAATCTGACATAAATTTCATACAACTATAGATGCTATTGTTTCATGGGTTCCTGCATTGGAAGAGATATCCCTATTTTTTTCTTTTAAAAAAGGTGAGTGAAAGCAACATGTTGCATGTCAATCACCAAATGAAAAGCATGCATTGTAGTGAGAACCAACCTTGAACTTCTTTTATCAGAGAAACCACCTTAACTCAGCAAGCCATTAGCATTTCTGCGGTCTGTCAATATCTATCTACCTGGAGAGCAGAGTTCTAATTGCCATTGAGTTCATTATATTCAGTTATGCATTAATATTCTAGACAAAGGTATGAATCCACCTCTTCTCCACTCACTAGTTGTGGCTTACTTAGTAAGAGTTGTATCACTAAACGATTATTACCTCAAAAAAATATTCTAACAATCTAAAAAATATTTTCTGGCTTTAAATAACATGCAAAGGGTTTTATAAGCCATAGAAAAAAATCAACTAAATGTATCTATCACAGTCACTTATCTCGATTTCATTCTTTGTTGCATGGTGGTAGCACCTGCTAAGATCATAGATATGGGCAAATAATGACCCTCCTACAAAAAAACAGAACAGGTATCAATATACCAACAATACATTTTTATATATATATATAAAAAAATTACCAAAAATACATTTTCTGTACTTGAAGGCAGACAATTGCACTTAAAATAAATTTAGTTGAAGCCATAAAATTGTTCAAAATATTTAGATTTCGGCAGTAAATAACACATAGGGATTGATATGCCACTAAACAAGATCAACCAAACAAAATTCTCTGTCTCTCTCATATATACATATATGCATACAGACAGACATACACACACACACATATATATATATATATATATATATATATATATATAGAAAAAGTAATAAATCCATTGGTATATAATCCAAAAGGATCCTAGTAATATAGAATATTAAAACTGATCCACAAAAAGAGCTCAATGTATTTATTATTATTTATTTATTTTTATAGCTTTCACAGTTAGATTTCTATTTCTGGCAAAATAAGCTTATTACCCATATGAGGTGACTTTGGATTTTATTGTTTATTAATTATATGTATATATATATATATATATATATATATAATACTAAATTCAACATTGACAGTCTGATTCAGGCCACTTATATATAGCTAGCTTATCCTTTTCATATCCTACAAGCTAGCTTCCTTGGCCTCTTCATATTAAATATTTTTATAGTAATTGTTCTGATGAGCTTTCCTCTTTGGTATCTTGACTTTATCAATTTAAATGCAGTACTATATTGGCAAGTAGGTCTCTTCATTTTAAAGTTGAAATGGCTTGATGCAATCATTAGTTTTATGCTAACAATTTCTCTCACACTTCTCACTTGTGGAACTCTCTTCTGGCTTACTTTCCAGTCAACTTTGATCTTCAAAAACTTAAATGCAATATGAATCCTTATCCTCTCTTTTCTTAATTCCAGTCTTATTGTTCCCTCTCCTTAGTAAGGGATTTTTTTATCACATTCTTTGACGTCAGTAAACACTTGCCTCATAGTTGCTTTATTTTGCTTTAGGTAAAATAATTCAAACATATAGCCAGCTAGTTAGCTACATCATCCTTATCATATCCCACTAGATAGCTACCCTGCTTTCTATCCAACCAGCTAGCTCTGTCAGTCTCTTCCTATCCAGCTAGATAGCTCCTTTGGTCTCTTCCTATCCAGCCAGCTAGCACCCCCTCAAGCTTTTCATATTCAGCCAGCTACCTACCTCAGTTTCTTTATATTCCCACCAGCTCCCTCAATCTATTCCCATCCAGCCATCTAGCTAGCTACATTTGGTCTCTTCATATACAGCCAGTTACCTCCTTTGGCCTCTTCATATCCAACCAGCTAGCTACCTCGGTCTCTTCTGATACAATCAGCAAACTACCTCGGTTTCTTCATATACAGTCAGCTAACTCTGTTTCCTTTTATCCAGCCAACTAGCTCACTCAGTCTCTTCCTATCCAGCCAGCTACCTACCTCGGTCTCTTCCTATCCAGCCAGCTACCGACCTTGGTCTCTTCCTATCCAGCCAGTTGCCTACCTTATGCTCTTCCTATCCAGCCAGTTACCTACCTTGGTTTCTTCCTATCCAGACAGCTACCTACCTATCTACCTACCTACCTACCTTAGTCTCTTCCTATCCAGCCAGTTACCGACCTTGGTCTCTTCCTATCCAGCCAGCTAGCTCACTCAGTCTCTTCCTATCCAGCCAGCTACCTACCTCGGTCTCTTCCTATCCAGCCAGTTACCTACTTGGGTTTCTTCCTATCCGGCCAGCTACCTACCTACCTCAGTCTCTTCCCATCCAGCCAGCTATCTACCTTGGTCTCTTCCTATCCAGCCAGCTACCTACTTCACCCTTTCTCCTCTTTCTAATTTTTGAAATATTTTCTTAATAGGCCTTGCATGTCCACAATGCACTCTGAATTTTGATAATTATTCTTTTCCAAGCAATCACACAGAATTGTTGCCTTGCTTCTACTGTGTAATTTTTATGTCATTATTTTCTTCACATTGTGTTCAAACTTTGTCAGAGGCAAATACTTCCATGGGACTAAGACAGGTGATTTGTTAGTTTTCTTTTTTCTCTTGAGTTTTCCATCTGTTATTCATCCTTGTACTTCCCAGAGTCAAATGATCATCCTTTTGTTACCACTTGAGGAACAATAGTGTTTAAAATGCAAGTCAGAGAAACTGTTTCAAGAATTGTTTGTGTACTTTTATAGCAATGATAAAATTAGCCAATTCCATACAGAAAACATTCAGTATTCTTTGTCGAAAACAGTATTACTGTCAGTTGAAATTTATAAAATCTTTTTCTTAAAAATATTTTGAATGAAAACATCTCAAGTCAACTGCAATTATCCTTTTCAGCATTGATAGAAGTTTCCTTTCAAACCTTTTGTTTTTGGTTGTGTGGAAAGTTAACATCTAAATCATAACATTATTTTCAATCAGTCAGCAACATTTTCATCAGAATCTTATTCCAACATAAATAAAACTGTGTGAAAAACTGTTATTAGAATTCCTTTAGCGCCTGTCTATAATTTTGAGATGAGGTTTTGTAACTATTTACACTGTTTGGACTGTTGCCCTCATCTTTATTGCCATATTCATGATGTTTCGGCCGTAGCACGCTACGAGCTACTTCAGGATCTGTCTCTATTTCTGAGATGAGGTTTTGTAATTCTTTACACTGTTTGGACTGTTGTCCTAATCTTTATTGCCATATTCATGACATTTCAGCCATTGTATGCTCTGACCTACTTCAGGATCTATCTCTATTTATGAGATGAGGTTTTGTAACTATTTATATTGTTCAGACTGTTGCTCTCATCTTTATTGCCATATATATATATATATATATATATATATATATATATATATATATATATATATATATATATATACAATACACATGGTGGATGGGAGGTGGTTCAAATACTAATAAAAAAATAAGGAAAACCTTACACAAGAAAAAATAACTAAAAAAAGAAACTGAAAGGTAAGCACCTATTTAAATGGAACACAACAGTGCTCAATGCCTAAGCTATATAGACAAAGCAAAAAGTTCTTCTAAATATATATATATATATATATATATATATATATATATATATATATATATATATAAATATTAGATCTTATGAAAGGATGGCTGCAGTTATATTGCACATTTCATGGAATGTGATCTCCAGACACATAAGCATAAAACTTGAGTTATGACTAGAGCCATCCTTTCATAGGATTTAACATTGTTAAGCCTTTTTTGATTGGCCTAGACAATCTAGACTTCGAGCACTTTACTAAGTAGGTAAGTTTACCTTTAGGCCTTTTTTCTCTTTCTTTTTTCAGGATTGTCATTTTTATTTGAGACTATCTGAATAAGAATTTTTGGTTTCCTGTTGGTTCCACCAACACTTTCTGTTTTTCTTTAACAACATTTATAAAATATATATATATAAAAACCAGTTTGTCTGATGATTGCAGAAGTGTGAAACCCAGTGTCCCAAACTCATATCCATACAACTTATTATGTTAGCACTATCACTGATATTGAACGCTTTCACTAAGTACTGCGCATATTATATATATATATATATATATATATATATATATATATATATATATATATATATAATTATGTATTTTTTAATAACTATACTCAGGTGGTATGAAAAAAACATGGATAATACAATTTGTGAATAAAAATATATTTGAACAAACCAATATCAGGAAAAAATTCAGTAAAAAAAGAAAAGAATAAAGATGTCCATGTTGGCCAAAAATAATTGATCAGCGCCGCAATGCCTAGTCAAAAGAAAAAACACCGACAGAATAAATTGATTGAAAATATAAAACTGCTCAATACACTAAGTAGAGCAAAATATATATATATATATATATATATATATGAGATTTTAACGATGCATTTTGTATGCTCTTCACACTGAATCAGGCACGAAATGATGTTTGATATAAAGTGGAAAGAAATGAAAAAAAATATGTATTGACTAATGAGACAGTAATTGAAAGACCAAATAAAATCAGTTTTCACTTCTTCTTGTACGGTTTCACGAACACAGATAGCAATTATGAAGTTACGGTCAACAAAGTCTCCAAGATTTTTTTGATAATTTTTCAATTTAAAAATATTTCAAACCCAATCATATTTTAGCAAGAATCATTCAAAATTATTTTGATTCAATAATGCAAAATGACCTTGGTGTTTTTTTTTTTTTTTTCCTGTCACTTATAACTCTTAACCAGTGTAAATAAGAAGCAGTATCCCCACCCGACATCCAATATTCTTACACTGTTCTATAATTCTAGGTCAAAGCAATTTCTTAGTAGGAAATATTTTATTATATGACTTTGCATTCAGACAAATATAACTTGTCTTGGATGTTATAATGATGATTCAGCTATAAATGATAATAGTAATATTAGCTACTTCCTTATAAGGAAACATTTGGCATTCTTTGAGTAGCCAGTACTTCTGTTGGTTGAAATTTATAAAATCTTTCTTTTAAAACAAATTTTCAGGAAAATAGGTTTCTGAAGTCCAGTAGCTATTATTGTGGCTTCCATTATTGATGGAGGTTTCCTTCCTAATGTTTTGCGCGAAGTAGAGTGGAATGTCAAAATCTTGATTATGACATTATTTTCTCTACTTTAGCTGTTGCTGAAAGTTCTCCTGTGATGTACTTTCTGTTATTGAGTATAGTTCTTTGAAAATCAGGAAGAAAGGAATTGTTAGAAGTCAGGAGAGAATAGGACTTTACTGGAAATGCATTGTAAATGATTCTATTATAAAAAGCTCTAATGGGATTTGAAAATGCAATTATAGGATGAATAAAGTGTAGAGTAAAGAGTCAGGATTTATGAATTTAAGAGCAGTTTATGGTGTCATACGAGACATTTTTTCTCTCTGAAATGTATCTTACATATCTATAAGCCTGCTATTTGCCCATACTTAGAATATTACTTGTTCACATGGTCCACTGCCCCTGTTATTTATCTTGAGCTTCTTGATGAGATCCAAAGCAGAATCAGCAATATTATTGGTCCTGATCTGTCGGCTCAACTTCAGTCATTTATCCACTGCCGTAAGGTTGCCTCTCTCTGCCTTTTTTTATAAATACTTTCATGGTAATTGTTCAGATGAGCTCTTCACTATTGTACCTGAACCTTATGAATTTAAGTACAGTATTATACTGGCATCGAGATCTCATCAATATAAGAATACGTGGTGATTTTATAATATGCATAAATCATAAAATTTGCTCGGATTTGTTTCCTATTCCCAATATCAAAACTGCTATCCATAAATTATTCTCAATATTGAAACTGCTATCCACAAATTATTCCCAATATTGAAACTGCTATCCACAAATTATCAGGCATTAAAATTTTGCAAAGATTGATTTAAAATCAACCCATAGATAAATAAATTCAAGGAAATTACTATAATAAACATCCCCATAGGATTATTAAGATGGACAAGAATACCTTTTGAAGTGAAAACAGCAAGTGACAACTTTCAGAGAGCAATGTTAACTGTCGAAATTAGTAATCTGATTGTTTATCAAGATGATATTTGCCTTGGTGTCACCCCTAAAGGTAAATTATAACAAATACAAAAACATGTGTTAAACAAGTTAAAAAATACTGGGATGGCAATAAATACAGAAAAATGTGAATTTGATTGTCGTACAATATATTTAGAGGACCAGATTTCAAAAAATGATATTGTACCAGATCCAAAGTGAATTAAGAAAATTTCAGCAATATCTATAGCTTCTAATAAAAAAGAATCCTTTTTAGGTTTGGTTAAGTTTTATAACAGATATCTACCAAAATACAACAGCTTAAGAGAATGATTTGCTAAACTGCATAAAAAGAATAGTGAATTCAAATGGACTCAAAGGCAAAGCTTAGATTTAAAAAAGATACAGAAAGACCCATTGTAAAAATCTTTGGCCCCAAAAAGGAGGTTATGTTAACTATGTATGCGAATGAGCAAGCTGTGTCAGCAATTTTATCACAAGAAGGCCATCTAATAATATACCTTTCAAGAAGATTGATGGCAGCGGAAATAAATTATTCAAATATTGAAAAAGAGGCATTGGCCATTGTCTGGAGCACAGACAGAGCTCGACAATTCTTATTTGGTAAGAAGTTCCTATTAAAGTCAGGCCATAAACCTCTACAGTTTATTTTTAACTCTAGAAGAGTGTTACCAAAAGTTACATGTTCCAAAATTCTAAGGTGGGCAATAAAATTAATGGCATATGATTTTTTACATTGTGCATGTAAAAGGAAATATAATAGCAGTTAAATTTTAGTTTAATAAGATTCAAAACAGAAAAAAATTAAAATCCTGGATGAATAAATATTACAGAGTTAAAAATGATTATCTCTATGAAGATTGGTATCGGAAACTCGACAGGATCCAATATTAAGCAAGACTGATGAGAGAATAAGAACGAAACAGTTGGAGAAATTGTTATAAAGCTGAATGACTTTATAAAGACATGAGGCATAAATTAATTATGGAAAATGGCATTATATATGTCATGGGTCCTTACCTATAACTACAGAATGAACTCTTCCTAACACTATGCATTCTGCGCCTCTCAAGAGAGAGGATCAAATCGAGTTGAGCTGATAGTAGTTCACTCCAAACCAGACTGACAGTCATACTAACACCTTCCACATCTTGTATTATTATTTCGTGTAATATACCTTCATTATTTCAACTCTAGTGTTCGTGTTGTTCATCCTTGGTCCTAATCTGGACCATAACAATATACAATGGAGTTGTGATAATATATCAAAGAAAGGAAAAAGACACTGACCAATTAAGACCCAAAACTGAAGAGGAATGTGTTAT